GCATGACGAGTCGGTCGGGGAGTTGTATTTGGAACGCGGAATTGATCGGACGGAAAACGGGAAGAGTCAAATATAAAACGTTACAATGGCGACGCGGATGAAAATTGGTGGGTAAATTAGAAAATTAATCTGATTCTTTCGAGAAAAAAACAGTGTCTGGAAGATATTGAAAAGTAATAATAAAAAAAGGTTTTTCATTGCGACAACCAATGCATTTAATAAAAAAATGTGTGGAAAAAATAGTTTGAAAAAAAAAGCAAATGGCGTTCTGCGAGAAAAAAAATACTATATGGAAAAAAGCGAGGGGCAATTCACTGCTCTTGATGAATGAATCGAAAATACGTGAATGAAAAAAAATACACAAAAATTCATCAATACTCGTCATTGCTAAAAAACGCAAAAAAAAAAAATACAAAATTCGAAAAAAAATACATAATTCGGAAAAAAGATACAAAATTCGAAAAAAAATACATAAATATTCGACGAGTAAAAAAAAAATACACAAATATTCGACGAGTAAAAAAAAAATACACAACGCTACGCGCTACTGCACAAAAAATACAAAAATGCAATACAACTGCCTAATACAGACAAAATGCGTCATTGTATTTATATTCAAGCACAAATCACCAGAAATGCATTAAAAATACATTATTGATGTTCATTCTTTACCTGCTTAATTTTTACTACACATTTATGTGTAGGATTTCTCCCATTTCATGAAAAACGCCTTTATTCATTTAATAAGTAACTAATTGCCTATTAATGAGTAACTGTAACTGTATAAGTAAAACTTATTGTTCAATGGATAACCGAGTGGATAACACATGCTAATTCACGAGCTTATTAATGGATTATGTGTGATATAATAATTTCTCAAACTGCATGTAATTCTACTCATAACTGGGTATTTTAAAGTTAGCGTTTGATTGACGCATTTGCCAAACAAAACGCTAGACAAAACATTAAATTACATCAACACAACAACATTTGTGAGTTGTTGTCCTTGGTTCCAGGACGTCAGAAAAGTTTCGGTTATATCCTTGACACGAGCCTCGATATTAGCATATTAGCTACATAATTTTGAAGTAAGCGCGAGTGTAAGTTGCATGCCAAAGCAATAGTATGAATGATTCAGATACGAAGGCATTCTGGGTGTCGTATGAAGATGTCACCGGCGAAATCATACCCAAATATCTAAAAACAATTGATAACCGCGGCGGGTTACGCGAGATAATCGGCGTTAAAATCGGTTGATGACCGATTAATAACGTCGCTAGAAAATTTTGCCAGGGAATAGCTACCACTTCTTTGTGAAGCATCATCCGAAAACTTCCACCTCTATTTCAAAAATCCCGAAAAGTTTATAATCGTCCCAGGACATATCGAGCTGCTGAAGGAAGCGGCAGGAAAATTGCCAGACGATAAGATTTTCCTAAAGGTAAATTATGAAACACATACATAAAAGTTGATTGAAATACAAAAAAAAAAAAACACAAATCTTTATATAAATTTCAGCTCTATCGTAAAAACTGTCCTCTATTTATTAAACCCGACAGCACACCCTCTGTAAAACCGACTGATTTCGTTGGATACAGTCATTCCAGCGACATCGCTGTCAACTCACAGTCGTGCTCACAACATCGCTCGCAGCCTCCGTTCAATGTCCTTTCAGCGTATACAGGGATGGATTCTGAACCCGCAGTCCAGGCCGCTTCGATTGCTAAAAAAATTATACGTTGGGCGGATTCAAAGAACATTAAGTTAGAACATCCAGAGGTGACTATTTGCGGACCACTGCAAAGCAAAGTTAAATGCTGCTTTTGTCCAAAAATGGTCACCTTAAGTACCCGTATAAACAAGAACGGGTCTTGTGGATGGATAATTTCAAATTATTCACAACACCTGGTGGAGCATGAACGCCCAAAACGAACAGCAACCATAAACGATTTTTTGGTCACACTAAGAGGGAGTTAGTAACATACAATGAGAAGCCGGAAGACGTAGCTGAGGACCGATCAGAGGACGTAGCAGAGGAAGAGAAAAACCTCTCAAGTCAAGGCCATTACAACTTGGAGGACTTCATCGAGTATGATCCGCAGTCGGACGAGGAAAAATTCTAGGAAGAATATAATCGAGAGTTGTTTTTAATTTCCTTCTGATCGAAGGAAACGTTTGCTTTTAAAATGTTTTTTAACATGTCTTGTTTTTAAGTTTACTTCTATCTACATTGTCACTAAAAACGCATAAAACCTGTGAGCAATATAACAAATATGTGCCATCCTAAACCTGCAGATTAATTACGCAAGGGATTTTATAACACCATTTTCAAGGAGGAGGTTCTCACCTGGCATCGAGAATGGCGAACATATCAAGGAATGTGTTTGTAGTTGAGTTATGCTAATGGCTAGCCAGATGGGCTAGTTTAAAGGGATTCCCCTAACCTCTGGTCTAGCCACGGAGATCGTCTGGGGTGGGCTACACTCGCCTCTTTTGTTGACTAGCTCGAGCTTGAAACCCTGGAGCTTCAAGGTCGGCTCCTGGCTTGTCGGCACTGATCAAAAGTACAAAACACCTCTTTATCACTTTTACTCTTTATTCTCTCACTCACTTGTTATGTCTATAGTGTGGGTGTGTAGATTGCTGGCCAGCGATGACGGAATTCTGCAACGGGTATGGTTTTTCGGCGGCGGATGAACGGACGGTTCACAGTGGATGCCGGTGCTCAACGGTTGTCACCGTGTGGCACGACGGATGTGGCACTGGGGCTCGATCGGGTGATCGACGGTGATCTCCCAGTGGTTGTCGGTGTATTACCGATGGACGCTTGCTACACGGGTGTTGGCGTGTTAATGGACGCCCTCGTGGTTTAGCCCGTAATTAATGGGTCCTGAGGGGAATATGAGAGGTGGTCTTAGGGCTGGGAATTCCGCTACCGGGTATTAATTGGGTCCTACCTGACTCTGTATTCGGTAGTTTCACCGGTATTTGTTGGCGACTCTATATTTTTCACTTCTCTTCAAAACTTTTAAGAAACTTAACTTGGCAGATCGATCTATCTCGCGCAATGGCTAAAGTGAAAGAGAACCTTCTCTTCAGTTTGACCCAGTAGCTTCCCCCTTGACCTAAGCCCATTTCCACCTCCCTCACACTTTTTCACCACCCCTTGTCCATATCCTTCTCTTGTTTCCAACGCCCACCTTCATCCTTACTCCTTCCCGTTATGTGTTCTGTGTTATGTGTTGTTGGTGTAACTGGGTTACAATATGTAATTGGACCGTTGGTTTGGGAGTGGTCTTTCATTTGCCTTACATATTTAATTATATTTACATTCAAAATAAGACAATATTGCATACAAGAAACTGACATACAGATTGAATTCACAATGAACACACATATACCCTATTCCTCGCTCTCGCTATCTCCTGATTTTTCTCGCTCGAAGTGAACCAATAGGGTACAGGAACCAAAACGGTAACAGTTACTAACGAAAGAGAAATTCGATGAAGAAAATCGATCAAAATCACTTACAACACTTTTTTTTCACTCCCTCAATTCTGCACAGTTAGTTTTTGATAATGGCATTGTTCTTTAACAATTCATTAAATGTTTTGTCTAGGCCTCGGTCGAAGCTATACCAACAGTTTGCATAAACTTAACAAGTTTTTTTCTTCGTAGTATTCATTTAGGGTTACTCTTTTATTTGCTAACAAACATGTAATTGGGAAATACATTAAGTGATGCTTTATTTTCAGTTCTTTGGTCATTTTTGAACATTTTGTCTTGAATTTTTCCTAGCAAAGTCAGTCCATTTTTAGTTTTAAACGCGACTACAAGTATGCCTATTTTAGTAAAGTTCCAAGATATACACGTGTTTCTTGTGTTATTTCAAACGATTTAGTAGTTTCCAATAATTCTGGCTTTTGTATATGAGACACATATCTACTAATATCTATCTTTGACCAGTCTGATTCAATGCTTAACTTATTATTAGAAAGAATGTTAAACTTGTTACAAACAATACCTACCCAGTCAACAATTTGGTCCGTATAATTAAATATATACATATGTATATACAACATACTAAAATCGTAAATAATGCATAGAAAGCCTATTTGCCCACCAAAGTGGAGGCCATATACGTACTTAACGAAATAAGGTGCATTGAAATTGATTTCATCTGATATGATACATGATGACTTGTGATGTCAAAGCACATGAATTACGATTTAGTTTGTGATTGTTTATTTTTTTATATGATACTATGTGACATCGCTGTGATATTATTTACGACTAATGGTGGCGTAGAAAATTAAAAAAAAAAATGACGTTAATAGTCATGAATGGGATGTACACTATGTTATGTTTGTGTAAGATGAAGTTTTATTATTTGTAGCATATGTGAAACTTTATTTTTAATGACATATTACATAGCTTGAACATGGATTTGAATCCTCACCGTCATGAGTGTTGGGTCCGCACAATAACACCGCACCAAATCTGAAAGATGATCAGATTAAAATTTTATTCATAGATGTACATGATTTCACTAGTTCTAAAAATAGATCATGATTTTCCTTATATGACATTTACCATATTCCCTTCAGCGTGAAATACAATATATCGACACATCATCGACTCTAACACAAATAACACATTTGCAATCGTATTTCTTTTCAAAGTATCTCTTTACCAATAATCTGATTTTGTTCACACATCCCTACGATATAATGTGATTCAAATTAAACGTAATTATGAATGTGTGTTCCATAACTAACAGTGATGCCGATTTTCATATAAACATGTTCACAATGGTTTCTGTATATCCGGTTTTTAATGTTCAAAATTGTGCGTAAGCAATACTATTTTCGACAATCTCTCCGAAGCGTGTGGAATATCGATAAATTTCGTGCTGTCGTTTGCTGTAATACACATCATCCTCGCATCATCGAATCCCGACCCGTCTCCATCTTTTCACTGTGCAGCTCCGTCAAAGCAGAATGGACCAAAAACAATGCGGAGAATGTCAGCTCGTTATCAACGAGCTCGAGCCGCTGCGCTGTGGTTTTTGCGAAACATTCTACCACATCAGCCAGCAGTGTTGCGGTATTAATATCCGCAATCTGAAGGAACCATTATCAGCTGGAAAGATACTCTTCGTTTGCAATTCCTGTCGTGGGGTTCTACAGGGCCGCTCTATCCGCTGTTTCATCGACGATCAGCAGCAACAACAAATGCAACCCCCCTCGCTTGCTTCGTTGCCAGATCAGGTTCGGCAACTGCATGATGCCGTGGCTGAGCTAAGTAAAAAAGTCGACAATTTCTCTGCTAATCCACAACGCAACCCGTCACTGAGTGCTACACCAGTTTGGCCCAAACCGGGTGCAAAACGCCGTCGTGAAGACCGGCCTGATATTGACGTGCCAACCGTAAATGGAACGAAAACAATTGACTTGAGTGGTCTTTCCGTTCCCTCTATTGCTCCTAGTACACCTCCGGAGAAATTCTGGCTATATCTTTCTCGCCTGAACCCGCTCATCACCGATAACGACGTGCAGAGTATTGTGTCACGCTGCTTGAGCTTAACTGAACCTGTCGATGTGGTGCGTTTGGTTCCCAGAGGAAAAGTCGTATCCAGTATGACATTTGTGTCATTCAAGATCGGTTTGGATCCTTGTTTGAAAGATGCTGCACTCGATCCGGATTCCTGGCCTGCCGGATTACAGTTTCGCGAGTTTATTGATTCGGCAAAAAACTAGCGTGCTACGTTTCTCCAGCTGTTGACACCATCGCCACAACTTCATCGGATCCGGGACACCCTAAAACAGGCACTAAGGAAGCTCCCGAGCCCCCCGACCCAGTCGCGCTTGCTGCTGACATCCGCCATCGTCATCGTCCCGGTCCTGTGGTCGGTGGTGGTATCGGGGGCTTCCGGCCTGCAACTCCTGGCGAGTATAATTGCGATTTCGAACTTTCGGTACCTGATTTCCCTTCAACTTCCAGTTCGCGTAGTGGCATCTTGAGTGGTCTCCGGATTTACTACCAAAATGTGCGTGGGCTGCGGACTAAAATCGACCCGTTTTACCTGGCTGTCTTGGAGGTTGAGTACGATTTGATTGTTCTGACAGAAACGTGGCTGGATGACCGGATTTACTCACCGCAGCTATTTGGATCGCATTATTCCGTCTTCAGAACCGACCGCTCTCCCCTAAACAGTCAAAAATTGCGTGGTGGTGGGGTTCTGATCGCCGTCACAACGAAACTGACCAGCTATGTAAGTACCTCGCCCATTTCAAGTCTGCTAGAGCAAATCTGGATTGTTGTGAATCTGCCAAGAACCAAGCTCAGTGTAGGCGCAGTCTACCTACCCCCCGATCGAAAAAACGACTGCACGATCATCCATGAGCACGTTAATTCGTTGGGCTCGATTTCGTCTCAATTGTGCCCCAATTCTCCCGCTCTCCTATTTGGCGACTACAACCAAGCTGGTTTACAGTGGCGTTTCTCTGACAGTGGCACACCATTCATTGATCCTCTGCTATCGCATAGGCCGGTTGCTTGCTGTGAACTTCTGGACGGATTTAACATTCATGGGTTCACTCAGGCGAACATTTTTCCCAACCGTAATGGACGTTTGTTAGATCTTGTTCTGGCAAATGACTCAGCATTACCAGACACTTCTGTTTCTCTACCGGTCGAGCCACTGATCGATCTAGATGCCGACCATCCCGCTCTCGTCGTGTCACTAAGTTTATCCACTCCAATTGAATATATACCGTTTTCCGAGTGCTGCTTTCTGGACTTTCGCCGGGCTGATTACACTGCATTGAACAATGCGCTTGCGGAAATAGATTGGCACTGTATCGAAACGGCCGCTAGTGTCAATGATGCTGTGGATTGTTTCAGCTCTGCGCTGGAAGAAGTTATTTTCCACACTGTCCCAGCAAGACGTCCCCCGCAGAAGCCTCCATGGTCGAACCCACGCCTACGTAAACTAAAACGTCAGCGCTCCGCCGCACTCCGAAGGTACTGCAGCTCTCGCTTACCGTTCTACAAGCAACAGTTTAAATTCGCAAGTCGTCGCTATCGAAACTACAGCCACTTCCTCTATAATCGGCACGTGAGACGCACGGAAGCGAACCTTCGGTCGAACCCGAAAGGTTTTTGGTCGTTTGTAAATTCAAAACGGAAAGAATCCGGGCTGCCTTGTTCCATGTTCCTCGGAGATGATACGGCCTGCAGCGAAAGTGAAAAATGCAGCTTGTTTGCTCGTCAATTCAAACAAGTCTTCCACGATTTTTCCGCTTCACCGACACAGGTGTTGGTCGCAACCTCCGGGATGCCACGTGATGTTTTTAGTTTTGACATACCTCACATCACTGAAGACATGGTGATAGCCGCAACACGCAAAATGAAGAACTCATTCGCCGCTGGTCCTGACGGAATTCCCTCGTCAGTTTTAAAACGATGTGCAGTCAACCTCTGCCTTCCACTTGCGCGACTTTTTAATTTCTCGGCACAGCAAAGTGAATTCCCCTCCCGCTGGAAGCTTTCCTATCTGTTTCCAATTCACAAAAAAGGAGACAAACGGAATGTCGCTAATTATCGTGGGATTTCCTCCATGTGCGCCTGCTCTAAACTTTTCGAGATTATTGTAAAAGATGCTCTGTTTATGTGCTGTAAAAATTATATCGATACGGACCAACATGGTTTTTACCCCAAGCGATCGGTTTCCACGAACCTGGTGCAGTTTACCTCTGACTGTCTGCGAAGCTTGGATGCTGGATGGCAAGTTGATGCTGCATACATGGACTTAAAAGCCGCTTTTGACAGGGTGGATCATGAAATCCTGCTTGCTAAGTTGGAGATACTAGGTGTCTCGTCTACGGCTGTGAAATGGTTCAGATCGTACTTAGTGAATCGCTCTGTACGAGTCAAGATTGGCGCGACAGATTCAAATGTTTTCTCCAACAACTCGGGAGTCCCGCAAGGCAGCAACCTGGGACCTCTGCTGTTTTCGATCTTTTTAAACGACATCGCTCTGTTGTTACCATCTGGATGTCGTCTTTTCTACGCAGATGACGCCAAAATCTACAAAATTATCAAAATCCTCTCGGACTGTTGGGATCTCCAGCATATGCTATGTATTTTCGCTGACTGGTGCACGAGAAATTTGATGGGCCTGAGCATCGAAAAATGCAACGTCATCTCCTATCACCGTAAAAACGAACCAATTATGTTTGACTATGTGCTCTTTGGACGTTGCATTGCCCGTGTAGAACAAATAAAGGATCTCGGTGTTACTCTGGACTGCGGACTCACCTTCAAAATCCATTATAACGACATCATTTCCCGAGCCAATCGCCAACTGGGTTTTATTTTCAAAATTGCCAATGAGTTCCGGGACCCGTTATGCCTCAGATCACTTTACTGCTCACTTGTGCGGTCTATATTAGAATCAAGTGCAGTTGTATGGTGCCCTTTCCAAGCCACTTGGATCGTTAGAATCGAATCTGTTCAACGAAAGTTTGTGAGATATGCTCTTCGTTTCTTGAACTGGCTTGACTCATCGAACCTGCCACCGTACGAGGAGCGTTGCCGTCTTCTGGGCATCGAACCGCTAGTGGTGCGACGGACGGTCGCTCAAGCTATGTTTGCTGGAAAGCTTCTCATGGGTGACATCGACTGTCCAACGTTGCTGGCCCAGCTAAATATGTATGCTCCTGAGAGACCTCTTCGTCAACGCGAATTTCTGTTTTTGGAGCCACGAGGCAGAAATTATACGCAGAATGAGCCAATTCGTGCAATCAGCCGACAATTTAACTACTTTTATTGCGAATTTGACTTTAACGTATCAGCAAATGTGTTTCGTCACCGGTTACTTGACCGTTTTCGTTTCGTTGACCATAACTATTTAGATTAAGTTTTATTCATTAAGACATTAATTGTCAGTTGAATTATTAAATACACAAATAAACAAATAATGTTGAATTTTTTATGATTTAATTACATTATGAAAGCAGAACTCTGAATTTATTCAAATATATAATAAGTTTTGTGAAATGCATAAATAAATGCCTCTACAATCGTAAGACACATCCATTTAAAATAATTGATAAATTTACTCAACTGGAAATGACCATAAATAATACTGACAGCTCTGACAAATCGAAGTAAACGAATTAAGTTGAATCGGCGCCGTTTTTTGCAGCAATGTTTCATCCTTGTTTGTTTCCGAGTGTGTTTTAATTTGATCAATCCCGAGAAGGTAAGCATCATTATCGAATCGTGAAAAAGTATAAATTTAAATCATTTTAATTGATTTCAGATGTATTCTGTTGTCCAGTTCATCGAAAACCAAAAATTCAAAGTGATGGCTGTGCCATCTGGATGGGTGAAGAAAAGTTTTCTATTTTGGCCAAAACTTCCGAATGTGAAGATTGAAGCTCTGCGTGTCAGCGGACAGGACTATAATGGACCCACAAAAAAGATTGCTGTTATTGTTTACAAAACATTCAAAGAACATCACCTGGCGGAAGGAGCAGCTGAGGAGCTCTCGAAGCGGGAAGTATCCGATGTAGATAGCAAGCGGAAGCGCCTCAAACCGACCAAAAAGCCGAAGCCAGTAACCTCAAAAGATTACAACATGATGGTGCAAGGTAAGCTAGACGTTTTTACAGGTTTTTGGTAGTGCAAATGAGTAAAAACAAATCCAACCTTTCATATTGTAGTCGTAAGAAGCGGAAAGTTTTTTCGGACGCTAATGAAAATTCAGCAAAACATGGAAAACCAGCTCTGCATCCTCAGGCCACTATACTCGTGCATGATGATGACGTTCCTGATGAGAATTTGGACACTGCTGAACTCTTTCAACCAAATGCTGCTTTTGCAAATATTCCAAGCACCCTGGCTCCTGGGCATCCTGGTACCATGTCATCCAGGTATCAAAACGTTTCTCCGTATCAACTCCCAACTGCTGCTGCGATTGTGCAACGAAATGCTGGTACTGCTTCTGCGCTTTCCAATGTTGCTACTGCTCCTGATACTGTTGCTGAGCTTATGCATTCGGCTGAAAACTTGAACGCTGCTGCTCTTCTACACCCAACTGCTGCTACTATGCAATCCGTTCAACCTAATCGTGCTCTCGTTATGTAGTCGAATATCGCCTCCGTCGTACTGCCAATTTCAGTTCAGTCAGTGCAACAAGTGGGGTCAAGCAGTCATGTTCCAATGAACCAGCTACCTATCACAACTAAGATGTTGACGGGTATTTTATTAAGATAGTAGTTGTAAATAAGAATTGGACATCTACTTTTTCTTTTTTTTTTACAGGATCGTCTCCGACACATCCGGTAGAATATGATTCTGAGCCCCTATACGTAAATCAGGATGGTGTCATGTATTTTACGCCTTCAGTTGAGAACGCCAACATGGCCAACCTTCAAATAGCAGGTAAATGCAGGGGCAGGGGTGTGAATTATTGCAACAATAACAGTGGTTAATTATTTTTCTTAAATTTGATAGGATCGATGAGCTACGAACAGATGAAGGCTGACTTGAAGGTGTTCATCGAAGCGACTGTTGAGAAAGTGGTTGAAACAAGCTTTCAAATCAACTTTGCCCGCTTTGCTGCCTTGTTGGAAATTCAAAGAAAGGATGATTAAAAAAAACTGAAACCTGGTGATTCGGTGGAGAGGCATTCCCGTATCAACACTGAAGACGAGCTAATCCAGTGGAACATAAAGCTAAACAACGAAGA